GCTGCATGACTTAAACCCAGAGGCAAGTGTGCAGCTACAAGCACAAAACAGGCGGGTCCTCAGTTACTTTGGAGTTCTTGAAGATTCCACAGTCAAGTGTCTGCCTTAGGCCCCATTCATCCCCATTCATCCAGAAATAAAGCAAATTGTCTTAGTCTTAGTCAGCTTTAGACTTTTCAGCAATGCTTTTAAAAAGTGAGGGGAAGGCAGAGCAGAAAATTCCATTTGCTTACTGCACGTGATGTTCTTGCACTGTGGAGTTGCTGCTTGATTGTGAATATTTGCTTAGTAGTGAGGCCGTGAGGATGTATGGCTTTCACCCAAAGTTATAAAGGCAAATACGTTTTCACTAGCTTCTAAGGGCTTGGGAGATCACCAGAATGCAAATTGTAAATTTCTGGCCTTCTCACTTGCTCTAGTAAGAATGAGGAACCTGCATCTCCGCCTCGCTTGCCTTCCCTGGTGGCCTTTTATCTCAAAGGAGAAGGCGATGGCCCCAGCCCTGCCTCTGCCTGAAGATAAATTCTTCTGTTGACTCAAGAGAGGATAGATAGGAGTATCACAGTTCAGAGTGGTAGGTCAGCAGTTCAGCTGTTTCTTCTCCTTCTTTTCTTGTTGTGTTGATAAAAACAGCAGGAAGTTCCAAAGGTTGTTTTGGCTCCCTAAATGCTTGGCTTCAAAAGCTTCTTCAAGAGCTATTTAGAAGCTATTTAGAGGGAGTAAAACGTAGTTTAAAAAAAAAACTATATATATATATAAAAGTTAAAAGGGTTGAATAAAAACAAAAGAGTAGGAATGCGAGGGAGAGAATGCTGCTGCCGCACCCTTCCAGAACCGAAACCTGTTGATAGGTTGTATCTGGGCTTTTGGTATTTTTTGCTATCTCCCAGCATTTTTTTCTTTTTGGAATTCTTTGCAGTTGTTCCTTTAGAATTTCTTTTTAAAGGAAGTTCCACCCTTCTTGGACTTATTTTATTGTTCTGCCATGAGACCTTATATATCCTGGTTCTGAGTTTATTAAAATTGGCTTTATAAAAATGCAGCATATATGTGTGGCTACACTCTGCTTTGGTTTCCTTTGAAATCACGAATTCTAGAAGAACATGGTTACTCTTGCCTAGCGTTCTCCTTATTGCTACTTCATCCACCAAATTATCTCTATTGGTCAGAACCAAGCCAAGGATAGCTAGTCCTCTAGTTTCTTTCTCTACTTTTTGTAGGAGAAAATTATCAACCACACAAGCCAGGAATTTCTTGGAAGGGCCATACTTGGCAGATTTTGCCTCCCAACAGATATCAGGACACTACAGCATCATGTGTCTTTGAAATCCTTGCAATACAAACTCAGTCCAGTATGTAACGTTTTCATTCTAATCTATCTCATATCTGAATCACTCTCCATGGGCATAAGAACTTTATTTATATTCACTGTAGTCCGCTAATTGCATTAGCTTCTTACCATATTATTATTTTCAAACAATTCAAAGGAGCTTAAACAAAACAAAACGGAACACTTGGAGGGGAGTTTTCATTTCAGTTCAGCATTTCTTCTGCAGTGTCCTTCTTTTCATCTGATAGTGGCACAAAATTACAGTTCCACTCTAAGAAGTTTAACAGCTGTAAAATCCATAAATCTGATACTCCTGCTCCAGCCACTGCACAGCGTCAAACATAAGCTTATCAAACAAATGAAGGTCTTGCCAATCAGTTGCAAAATTCTAGGAACAAGGGTACTTTTTAATAAAATCTTTCAGAGGCACTGAGAACAATAAATCATTAGTCTCCCATGGATAGAACCGGAAGTGATATCCTCTTATAATTGCTCATAATTCTAAGTCTATAACTGCCCCACTTTTTGCTCTGCAACTACACAAAGCTCAACAGAAAGGAGAGGGGAGAAGTTTTATGTCTTAAAATTGTTTTATATGGCTTTGTAACCTGCCCTGAGATCATGCAATGTAGGGCTGTCAATAAGTGTTTTCAATAAATAATTTTTGTTGTTTAGTCATTTAGTTGTGTCTGACTGTTTGTTATCACATGGATCAGAGCACGCCAGGCTCTCCTGTCTTCTACTGCCTCCCGGAGTTGGGTCAAATTCATGTCGGTAACTTCGATGACAATTCTATTATTTCAGTATGAGTCATATGATTATAAAAAGCTGTTAATTGTTTTGTGGTTTATGATTCTGCTTCAAATTTAGACTGCCACAAGCACAGAATTCATTACTAAACAATGCATAATATTCTCTTCCACCCACCTTATTTATTAGTCCCTGTAACAGCTGGCTGCACAAAAGCCAGTTGCTTTTCCTAGTAAGATGCATGCTTTGTATTTTGAATTTTTTAAAAGACAGAATAGCATAGGAAGTAGCAGTTCTATACTTTGTATGGCTGCGGTTGTGGGACAAGAATAAGCAATTGTGATAATCAAATGTAGTTAACTATAGATATTTCTGTCACAAGTCATGCCAGAACACACACACACTCTGTGCTGTTGTGAAAACAACATTAGTGTTCTGTGCAAGAACAATTGAAGAGTAAATGTACCTGCATATAAAACACACATACAGTACACACACGTAGAGTCTGCATATATATTGACCTTAAGTTATTGCTGTTCCTTTCAGAAAACGAACTATACATTTCATAATCCCAGTGTGATTTTAGAGCCATAGCCATTGTTAGCCTCTGAACATATAGCAATGATTCCATTGTTTCAGGAAATGTAAAGCTTCTAATTAGCCCACCTAGTACCTAGTTTTATATCAGAATCTGGATGTTGTACTGTACGAAATTACCTGGTGTGGCCCTTTCATATGCATTCAGATACCTCCTGTTGATATATTTTACAGTTTACAGTCACAACAGCACCTTTTTCCTTCCTGAACTTAATCAATCTACACTTGAACAGCAGAATCTTAAAGAGGCTCAAAGGACAGTTTACCATTTAATCCCATGTAAACCTAATATCTTGTCCTAATTGTTGTCAGTCAATTTCCTTTTAGCCAACAAGAAAAAATAATAGGTTCATATAATTACAATCTCAACTGTGTAGCACTTCTGTTCATAGATAAGGGAGAAAGTAAATGTAACCATAGATTGCACCCCTTCAGCTAATCAACTAAAACTTTAGGCCAGGATCCTATTTAGCTGTGATGGAGCATAAAGCTTCATATGGCTAGCTATGTGGATTGTGGGCTGCAAAACAGAAAGGCAAGATGAAGGCTAAGGTCCTTGTGGGAACCATGTTTGCTGACATCTACTGTGTAGTTGGCCAACATTGGGACTTTCATCATCTTTCCCACTTCAAGTCTATTTTTCTAATAAACACAAACTTCCTTATTTTCTGAGAAAGAAGTGTGGACATAGTTTCTTTACAAAGGGGGAAATATACTCAGGTGAGCATTCTGAGTTTCAAGGGGCTGAATCCACAAGTTAATGTTGCCCCGTCCCATTGTGAGGTCAAGTGGGCCTTAGAAAGCCTGGCTAACAACAAGGCCAGTGGAGGTGATGGCATTCCAGTTGAACAATTTAAAATCTTAAAGGATGATGCTGTTAAGGTGCTACATTCAATATGCCAACAAGTCTGGAAAACTCAACAGTGGCCAGAGGACTGGAAAAGATCAGTCTACATCCCAATACCAAAGAAGGGCAGTGCCAAAGAATGCTCCAACTACCGGACAATTGCACTCATCTCACACGCCAGCAAGGTTATGCTCAAAATCATACAAGGTAGGCTTCAGCAGTATGTGGACCGAGAACTCCCAGAAGTACAAGAAGGATTCCGAAGGGGCAGAGGAACTTGAGACCAAATTGCCAACATGCACTGGATTATGGAGAAAGCCAGAGAGTTCCAGAAAAACATCTACTTCTGCTTCATTGACTATGCAAAAGCTTTTGACTGTGTGGACCACAGCAAACTATGGCAAGTCCTGAAAGAAATGGGCGTGCCTGACCACCTTATCCATCTCCGGAGAAACCTATATGTGGGACAGGAAGCAACAGTTAGAACTGGATATGGAACAACGGATTGGTTCAAAATTGGGAAAGGAGTACGACAAGGCTGTATATTGTCACCCTGCTTATTTAACTTATATGCAGAATACATCATGCATAAGGCTGGACTGGAGGAATCCCAAGCTGGAATTAAGATTGCAGGAAGAAATATCAACAACCTCCGATATGCAGATGACACCACTCTGATGGCGGAAAGTGAGGAGGAACTAAAGAACCTTGTAGATATGGAGGCAATGACAGATTTTACTTTCTTGGGCTCCATGATCACTGCAGATGGAGACAGCAGCCACGAAATTAAAAGACGCCTGCTTCTTGGGAGGAAAGCAATGACAAACCTTGACAGCATCTTAAAAAGCAGAGACATCACCTTGCCAACAAAAGTCCGAATAGTCAAAGCTATGGTTTTTCCTGTAGTGTTGTATGCAAGTGAGAGCTGGACCATAAAGAAAGCTGACCGCCGAAGAACTGATGCCATTGAATTGTGGTGCTGGAGGAGACTCTTGAGAGTTCCCTGGACTGCAAAGAGAACAAACCTATCAATTCTAAAGGAAATCAACCCCGAGTGCTCATTGGAAGGACAGATCCTGAAGCTGAGGCTCCAGTACTTTGGCCATCTCATGAGAAGAGAAGACTCCTTGGAAAAGACTTTGATGTTGGGAAAGTGTGAAGGCAAGAGGAGAAGGGGACGACCGAGGATGAGATGGTTGGACAGTGTCATCGAAGCAACCAACATGAATTTGACACAACTCCGGGAGGCGGTGGAAGATAGGAGGGCCTGGCGTGCTCTGGTCCATGGGGTCACGAAGAGTCGGACATGACTAAACGACTGAACAAACAAAAGTCCCATTGTTACGCTTATGCAGCAGAGAGTGAAGTGGTTTACACAATGAGGAGGTGTAAAATATAATGCCCAGTTGGATCCTGGTTTTACTTGATTAATCTATTGAGTACAGTTTACAACAAAATACTAAAATAGATTCTTACCTATTACTTTTCCTAGAAAAAGTGATTTCAGAGAGTTGAACTGAAGATTTGATGGTCCTGGCAAAGTGTAGCTTACTGGAGGATAGTGGTCCAACTGGAGAAACACAAACACAAGGAAACCACCCTTTTAGAAGTTTGCACACTTAAAAAATTATCAAAGACTTTGTTCTTTTAGGAATGTTCTTATTTTGTGCTTTAGAAGCAATGTACCCCAATTAGAGTTTCTGAGACTCAAGCTCATACCAAGCAAAGAAACATTCACTTGATTATTTTGTTTATTTATTTGATTTATATATCACACCTCTAGTGGACACACTACTCTGGGCAGTTTAAAAATTAAAGACTCAGAACCCTAGTCTCAATACATATCTAGATGTATTTTTTTAAAAAAAGATGGCAGATGAAAAGAAAGGACAAATTAATATTAACTGCATCTGGGGATAAGTTACTGAAAATAGCTTTGTATAGCTTTCTTCACTAATTTTCCAAATGTCAGGAGAGAAGGAGCCTGGTGTACCTCAATTGGAAACTTATTCCACAGATTGGGGGCCAACACTGAGAAGGCCCAATTCCTTGGTGTCACCATTTCGGCATCTCTCAGAGTGGCCACTTTTAGATACTTCTATTGAGAGGGTGGGTAAAATGGGTAGGTGTTTCCTGAAAAAGCTGTTCCAACAAGTATTGTGGTTCTAGGCCATTAACAGCTTTACAGATAATAAGCAGCACCTTAAATTGAGTACAGAAATGGACAAGGAGCCAATGAAGGTGAGCCAAAGCAAGGGTTATATGATCGAAATTACTAATCCCAGAAATTAGTGTGGCTGCCATATTTGGACGTGGTGAAGTTTCTGTACTGTTTTCAAGGACAGCCCTACATAGAGAGCATTACCATATATTTTTGAGGTTATTAGTGTGTGAACCACTGTTACTAGGTGTAGCAGGCCACTCTCAAGCCTTTACCCATCCAGGCCTCTAAGAGTGCTCACTACCTTTCACCAAAACTGCTGCCACCAACCTATCCTTAAAATCAAAAGGACAAGTGTTTCTTTCAAACAAATAAAAATATTTATTGATTACACAAAAATAAAAAGGATAAATCACTGGTATTAAATCAATTAGTCAATCACTGTTTCTCAGACACTAGCTCACACAGACTTTTCCCTCACTGACAGGCTCTTTCTCACTCTTTATCAATCTCTCTAATCACTCATCTCTCAATCTGATCTCCCACATCACACACACCTTATATAACCCAGCTCCTCCCACCTCTGCACCACCCTCCGTCCTCTCATTGGCTGAGGTTCCCCTGCCCAGCTATGATGGACAGGTGAGAGCAGAGCTGAACGCCACAAAGCCTCCCCCCTTAACAAGTTGTTTTATGGGGGAAAGCTAAAGTGCTTTCCTCTATAAACAACGAGGAGCAATACAATAATACATTTAACCTAATAACAATATTACATTTAATAAACATTTTCATAAACATTAAACATCTCACCTGCAAGTCAAGTCATACTCATACATTCATTAACCTT